TACATTGATCCTTTTTGCACTAACCTTTTTTGACTCATCACATACACTGCTGCTACTGTTCACTATCTGTCACTTTATTTCTAGTTATATGTACATATCTACCTCAATTACCTCATACACCTGCATATTGACTAGGTACTGGTACCCCGTGTATATAGCCAAGTTATTGTTACTCATTGTGTATCTATTATTACATGTATTGATTTTCTATTATTTCTCTATTTTCTTTCTCTCTGCATTGTTGGGAAGGGGCTGTAAGTAAGCATTTCACTGTTAGTCCACACCTGTTGTTTACGAAGCATGTGACAAAAAAAAATTAGATTTTGATATCATACTAATTTGAGTCTCGGATTTTCCTTTACTATGTCACGTCTACCCCCGAGTCCAGGTTGTTCAGGCAGAGCTGCCCTCAAAACTAGGGCCGGATTCTATCCAAGCTGCGCTAGACAGCAGACAGTGCGGGTATTAAAGGTAATTTACCTTTATTATTTGGATTGTAGACCTGAAGTTGATTGGCTTTATATATTAGTTTTTTTCTCAACATTTGAAGACAATTGATCCTACATCATGATATGACTAATAGACTGATGTATAATCAACATTTTTATTTGAACCCATCATGCCATAAAATGTATCTGAAATAAATTAACAAAACTATGTACATTAAAACAAACAAACTCAGCAAAAAAAGAAACGTCCTCTCACTGTCAACTGCGTTTATTTTCAGCAAACTTAACATGTAAATATCTGTATGAACAGAACAAGATTCAACAACTGAGACAAACTGAACAAGTTCCACAGATATGTGACTAACAGAAATTGAATAATGTGTCCCTGAACAAAGGGGGGGTCAAAATCAAAAGTAACAGTCAGTATCTGGTGTGGCCACCAGCTGCATTAAGTACTGCAGTACATCTCCTCTTCATGGACTGCACCAGATTTGCCAGTTCTTGCTGTGAGATGTTACCCCATTCTTCCACGAAGGCACCTGCAAGTTCCCGGACATTTCTGGGGGGAAAGGCCCTAGCCCTCACCCTCCGATCCAACAGGTCCCAGACGTGCTCAATGGGATTGAGATCCGGGCTCTTCGCTGGCCATGGCAGAACACTGACATTCCTGTCTTGCAGGAAATCACGCACAGAACGAGCAGTATGGCTGGTGGCATTGTCATGCTGGAGGGTCATGTCAAGACTCCCGAGTGGCGCAGTGGTCTAAGGCACAGGCCTCAGTGTAACGCTCATTCTTTTGATGATAAACGCGAATCCGACCATCACCCCAGGTGAGACAAGACTGCGACTCGTCAGTGAAGAGCACTTTTTGCCAGTCCTGTCTGGTCCAGCGACGGTGGGTTTGTGCCCATAGGCGACGTTGTTGCCGGTGACGTCTGGTGAGGACCTGCCTTACAACAGGCCTACAAGCCCTCAGTCCAGCCTCTCTCAGCCTATTGCGGACAGTCTGAGCACTGATGGAGGCCTCTTTAGTGTCCTAAGTTTTCATAACTGTGACCTTAATTGCCTACCGTCTGTAAGCTGTTAGTGTCTTAACGACCGTTCCACAGGTGCATGTTCATTAATTGTTTATGGTTCATTGAACAAGCATGGGAAACAGTGTTAAACCCTTTACAATAAAGACCTGTGAAGTTATTTGGATTTTTACGAATTATCTTTCTTTTTTTGCTGAGTTTACAAACAGGCAATATTGCACTTGAATAAAACTGATAAAATACATGTGAAAATACGAGGAAAATATTTACACAGGATGAAGTGCTACTTACTTAAAATATAGGTTGCAAACACAGGGTTGTGTGATATACAGTGCATTTGGAAAGTAATCAGACCCCTTGACTTTTTCCACATTTTGTTACGTTACAGCCTTATTCAAAAATGTATGTGTTTTTTTTTTTTTTTTATCAATCTACACACAATATCCCATAATAACAAAGCGAAAACAGGATTTTTTTGCAAATATTTAAAAATAGAAAAACTGAAATACCTTAAGTTTTCAGACCCTTTGCTATGAGACTCAAAATGTAGCTCAGGTGCATCCTGTTTCCATTGATCATCCTTGAGGTGTTGCTACAACTTAATTAAGAGTCCACCTGTGGTCAATTCAATTGATTGGACATGATTTGGAAAGGCACACACCTGTCTATATAAAATGTCCCACAGTTGACAGTGCATGTCAGAGCAAATACCAAGCCATGAGGTCAAAGGAATTGTCCGTAGAGCTCCGAGACAGGATTGTGTCGAGGCACAGATCTGGGGAAGGGTACCAAAAAATGTCTGCAGCATTGAAGGTCCCCAAGAACACAGTGGCCATCATTCTTAAATGGAAGAAGTTTGGAACCACCAAGACTCTTCCTAGAGCTGGCCGCCTGGCCAAACTGAGCAATCGAGGGAGAAGGGCCTTGATCAGGGAGATGACCAAGAACCCGATGGTCACTGTGACAGAGCTCCAGCATCCCTCTGTGGAGATGGGAGAACCTTCCAGAAGGACAACCATCTCTGCAGCACTCCACCAATCATGCCTTTATGGTAGAGTGACCAGACGGAAGCCACTCCTCAGTAAAAGGCACATGACAGCCCACTTGGTTTGTGAAAAGGCACCTAAAGGACTCTTAGACCATGAGAAACAAGATTCTCTGGTCTGATAAAACCAAGATTGAACTCTTTGGCCTGAATGCCAAGCGTCATGTTTGGAGGAAACCTCACACCATCCCTACGGTGAAGCATGGTGGTGGCAGCATCATGCTGTGGGGATGTTTTTCAGCGGCAGGGACTGGGAGACTAGTCAGGATCGATGTAAAAGATGAACGGAGTACAGAGAGATCCTTGATGAAAACCTGCTCCAGAGCACTCAGTTCCTCAGACTGGGGTGAAGGTTCACCTTCCAACAGGACAATGACCTTAAGCACACAACCAAGACAACGCAGGAGTGACTTCGGGACAAGTCTCTGAATGTCCTTGAGTGGCCCAGCCAGAGCCCGGACTTGAAACCGATCAAACATCTCTGGAGAGACCTGAAAGTAGCTGTGCAGTGACGCACCCCATACAACCTGACATAGCTTGAGAGGATCAGCAGAGAAGAAAGGGAGAAACTCCCCAAATACAGGTGTGCCAAGCTTGTAGCGTCATACCCAAGAAGACTCAAGGCTGTAATCGCTGCCAAAGGTGCTTCAACAAAGTACTGAGTAAAGGATGTGAATACTTATGTAAATGTGACATTTCCAAAAATTTATAAAAAGCTGTTTTTGCTTTGTCATTATGGGGTATTGTATGTAGATTGATGAGGGGAAAAAACGGTTTAATCCATTTTAGAATAAGGCTGTAACGTAACAAAATGTGGAAAAAGTCAAGGGGTCTGAATACTTTCCGAATGCACTGTATAATTTTTTATTTTTTGCAATAAGATAACACTGAAAATTCAACACTGAAAATTAAGAAAAACTTGCAGTTAAAATCCAAAAACTGAATACTGGCAAAAGTGGTCTAAAACACCATGACAGCACCACTCAATTGGACATCTTTAAATATATGATCAATATGACCAATACTGTGCACGTTGTCATATGGTTAAACAGAGCAGGAAGCCCAGAATACTCACCACAACGAGACAAGGAGGATTTCCTTCATTATCCCTTTTGAACATGTTTAAGCCAATACAGTTTTACGCTTTCCATTCAATTTTAACACACATAAATAAAACAAAACTGTAAAATATTAGATTCTTCAAATGGTTACTGGAATTAAACTCAAGGTCAGAAAGGCAGATGAGGTTGACATAGGATATTTAAACCACCATCAATTATTGATGGGCAATATGTCAGCTTGTTAGGAGCAGGTCCATGTAGCTCAGTTGGTAGAGCATGGCGCTTGCAACGCCAGGGTTGTGGGTTCGTTTCCCACAGGGGGCCAGTATGAAAATGTATGCACTCACTAACTGTAAGTTGCTCTGGATAAGAGCGTCTGCTAAATTACCAAAATGTAAATGTGGTGAAGGATCTTTCCAGGCTATTAAACACATCTACACCCGTGTGCCAGCTGCCAAGCCATTAACCGTAGTTTTCCATTCATAAATGGAAAATACCACATGGAATGTTGCAGACGGTAGGGTCTCTCCACAGCCTGAGGCAAAGCTGCTAGATACAAGTCATCCAGACATGTGCATCTTATTTCTTCTGACTCTGGCTAATCTATATTATCTCACCTGCTACAGTATCTCTTGCCACATACTGACAAATCGTAACATTTAAATAAAATTGCAGTAGCATACACCGAGTGTACAAAACATTATGAACACCTGCATCTTCCATGACAGACTGATCAGGTGAAAGCTATGATCCCTTATTGATGTCACTTGTTAAATCCACTTCAAATCAGTCAGGATGAAGGGGAGGAGACAGGTTAAAGAAGGTTTTTTAAGCCTTGAGACAATTGACACATTGATTGTGTATGTGTGCCATTCAGAGGGTGAATGGGGAAGACAAAAGATTTAAGTGCCTTTGAACTGGGTATGGTAGAACTGCAACCCTGCTGGGTTTTTCGCGCTCAACAGTTTCCGGTGTGTATCAAGAATGGTCCACCACCCAAAGGACATCCAGCCAACTTGACAACTCTGGGAAGCATTGGAGTCAACACGGGCCAGCATCTCTGTGGAACGCTTTCGACACCTTGTAGTCCATACCCCGACGAATTGTGGCTGTTCTGAGGGCAAAATGAGGGGGTGGAGGGTGGAACTCAATATTAGGAAGTGTTCTTAATGTTTTGTACACTCAATGTATATTTGAATCCCTCACTGTTTCCTCTACAATAGTCCCACAAGCACTTAAGGGTCAGAATGACACAAATAATGTGTAGTGACTGCAAAGAGGGGCAAGTATTACAGTATGCGAAAAGTGTTTAATAGTGCTGGCCATTTTTATGTCCTCACTTGTTTGGACTCATTTGAAAGTCAACACAATGTTTTCTGTTTTAAGACATAGCCTTGTCCATTGGCAGAAGGGAGGAGGAAGGTGTTGTGGGGAGGGGCTTGGCAGGGGTACTGTCTGTCACTGTCACACAATGAGGGGCAGTAGGTCAGGAGGGGAGGGAGCGGGGGGTGCTGTGACGGCTGTCAGCGTGCCAGGGTCCAGGCCATTCACCGCCCTGCTGTAAACACAAACACAACATGGGTTAGTCTGGTTTACTGACGGTTAGGCAACATTTCACTTGTTGCTACTTACAAAATTAACCTTGCTGGATTCATATTATGGGGTGGTAAAACAGGTATATTAGCATAGCAAACATAAAATCTGCATAGCCTAATACCTAGGTAGGTATTGCATGGCATTTTAAATTAGAGTTTCAATGAAGATGGGCTACACATAAGTAAAACTACTGATGTAGGTCTATTTGTGGAGCAGATAAACTGGACTATCACTTTACACTGGTCTCCTTTGTCTAGTCTGCCAGACAAAAGGGGCCATTTGAATGAAGCCACAATCACTACACAGGCAGGCACACTTTCCAGCGGGCTATGGATCTTAGTGCCCAGCGCAGGGTTGAACCAGTGACCTCAGCCACAGCAGGTCACCTATTAGTATGTCCACATTATCCTACTACCGGTCAGCCTTGTCACTTGCCTGACGACTTAAACTGAATTATTCCGCTGCTCTACTCTACTGCTACCTACTTCAGTCTGAGACTGCCATTGTTGAAGTTGTTTGTGGTGACGTCACAACGAGAGCTGTTGTACAAAACAAAGTCATCAGCGTTTGGTCACCTCTAACCAAACAGAGTATCAGAGCAAATGACAAAACACTGCTTTACCTATGTGTGTTCCAGTGTAGGCTGCTGAGGGGAGGACGGCACATAATAAATGGCAGGAACGGAGTGTGTTAAACACATGGAAACCGTGTGTTTGATGTATTTGATACCATTCCACTCCAGCCATTACCACGAGCCCGTCCTCCCTAATTAAGGTGCCACCAACCTCCTGTGGTGTGTTCTGGCTCATCCCATTGGTTTCTGGGACCAACGGTTAGAATGTGTTTGCATTCTAGAAATCGTCAGGAGGTACTCAGATTCAGACTCATTGCGGAGAAGAAACTAATGTCCGTAGGCGTGGCATTTCGCCGGAGCAAAGAGTCTGGGTCGCCAGGCAACCATGTCACGGTCACACACGGTCGCACACAGGGGAAAACATTAGGCAGCACACACAGGGCTTCGGGCACGTGCAGCCAAAAATGAAACTTGATGATAGATAAATAGATCTGCTGGAAGTCACTACAAATAACACCTCTGGAGAATTTTCTGATTGTTAACCCTTTACACTCATACCTGTATACATTTCTATATAATAAAAGTAAGGTAATTTATAGTGTCAACATTTATGATCACTATGTTTGATGTACAGTTACGAGATGACACAGCGTTACACCCTGGGTTGTCCTGAACAGAATGAGCCTGTTTGTTGTATTGTGAAGAAAATATGCAACGGAACATGCACTCATGACTCCATTCTATGAGCACCAAAATTACGATCTGCTTCCCTGAATTGCCTAGTGAAAGCCTAACATTGTAACCTCGTATTTTATAATTTAGCTAGTCATGTTGGCAATAGAAGAAGCTTTCAAATGATGCCTACCTGACCCAGATTGTGATTTATAAAATGGACAGTTTTTGGATTGCGTAAACAACAGTAATTGTGTAAAGGTGGGGATGCAGGGCTGTGTTCCAAAGAAAACACCTTATACAGTGAGCTCCAAAATTGGGACAGTGACATTCGTTGTTGTTTTGGCTCTGTACTCCAGCACTTTGGATTTGAAATGACACAATGACTATGAAGTTAAAGTGCAGACTGTCAGCTTTAATTTGAGGGCATTTTCCTTCATTTCGGGTGAGCCGTTTAGAAATTACAGCACTTTTTGTACATAGTCCCATTTTAGGGGACCAAAAGTATTGGGACAAATTCACTTACAGTGGGGAGCACAAGTATTTGATACACCGCCCGATTTTGCATGTTTTCCTACTTAAAAGTATGTAGAGGTCTGTAATTTTTATCATAGGTACACTTCAACTGTGAGATCCAGAAAATCACATTGTATGATTTTTAAGTAATTAATTTGCATTTTATTGCATGACATAAGTACTTGATACATTAGAAAAGCAGAACTTAATATTTGGTACAGAAACCTTTGTTTGCAATTACAGAGATCATACGTTGCCTGTAGGTCTTGACCAGGTTTGCACACACTGCAGCAGGGATTTTGGCCCACTCCTCCATACAGCTGTCGCTGGGTAATACAGACTTTCAGCTCCCTCCAAAGATTTTCTATTGGGTTCAGGTCTGGAGACTGGCTAGGCCACTCCAGGACCTTGAGATGCTTCTTACGGAGCCACTCCTTAGTTGCCCTGGCTGTGTGTTTCGGGTCGTTGTCATGCTGGAAGACCCAGCCACGACCCATCTTCAATGCTCTTACTGAGGGAAGGAGGTTGTTGGCCAAGATCTCGCGATACATGGACCCATCCATCCTCCCCTCAATACGGTGCAGTCGTCCTGTCCCCTTTGCAGAAAAGCATCCCCAAAAAATGATGTTTCCACCTCCATGCTTCACGGTTGGGATGGTGTTCTTGGGGTTGTACTCATCCTTCTTCTTCCTCCAAACACGGCGAGTGGAGTTTAGACCAAAAAGCTCTATTTTTGTCTCATCAGACCACATGACCTTCTCCCATTCCTCCTCTGGATCATCCAGATGGTCATTGGCAAACTTCAGACGCGCCTGGACATGCACTGGCTTGAGCAGGGGGACCTTGCGTGCGCTGCAGGATTTTAATCCATGATGGCGTAGTGTGTTACTAATGGTTTTCTTTGAGACTGTGGTCCCAGCTCTCTTCAGGTCATTGACCAGGTCCTGCCGTGTAGTTCTGGGCTGATCCCTCACCTTCCTCATGATCATTGATGCCCCACGAGGTGAGATCTTGCATGGAGCCCCAGACCGAGGGTGATTGACCGTCATCTTGAACTTCTTCCATTTTCTAATAATTGCGCCAACAGTTGTTGCCTTCTCACCAAGCTGCTTGCCTATTGTCCTGTAGCCCATCCCAGCCTTGTGCAGGTCTACAATTTTATCCCCGATGTCCTTACACAGCTCTCTGGTCTTGGCCATTGTGGAAAGGTTGGAGTCTGTTTGATTGAGTGTGTGGACAGGTGTCTTTTATACAGGTAACGAGTTCAAACAGGTGCAGTTAATACAGGTAATGAGTGGAGAACAGGAGGGCTTCTTAAAGAAAAACTAACAGGTCTGTGAGAGCCGGAATTCTTACTGGTTGGTAGGTGATCAAATACTTATGTCATGCAATAAAATGCAAATGAATTACTTAAAAATCCTACAATGTGATTTTCTGGATTTTTGTTTTAGATTCCGTCTCTCACAGTTGAAGTGTACCTATGATACAAATTACAGACCTCTACATGCTTTGTAAGTAGGAAAACCTGCAAAATCGGCAGTGTATCAAATACTTGTTCTCCCCACTGTGTGTGTGTGTGTGTGTGTGTGTGTGTGTGTGTGTGTGTGTGTGTGTGTGTGTATATATATATATATATATATACACACACACACACACACACACACACACATATATACAGAGCATTCGGAAAGTATTCAAACCCCTTGACTTTTTCCACATTTTGTTACATTACAGCCTTTTTCTAAAATTGATTAAATCGTTTTCCCCCCTAATCAATCTACACACAATACTCTATAATGACAAAGCGAAAACTGGTTTTTATAAATGTTTGCAAACGTAAAAAAATAAAAAACCTTATTTACATAAGTATTCAGACCCTTCGCTATGAGACTTGAAAAAGAGCTCAGGTGCAGCCTGTTTCCATTGATCATCCTTGAGATGTTTCCACAACTTCATTGGAGTCCACCTGTAGTAAATTCAATTGATTGGACATGATTTGGAAAGGCATACACCTGTCTATATAAGGTCCCACAGTTGACAGTGCATGTCAGAGAAAAAACCAAGCCATGAGGTCGAAGAATTGTCCATAGAGAACAGAGACAGGATTGTGTCGAGGCACAGATCTGGGGAAGGGTACCAAAAAATGTCTGCAGCATTGAAGGTCCCCAAGAACACAGTGGCCTCCATCATTCTTAAATGGAAGAAGTTTGGAACCACCAAGACTCTTCCTAGAGCTGGCCGCCCGGCCAAACTGAGCAATCGGGGGAGAAGGGCCTTGGTCAGGGAGGTGACCAAGAACCCAACGGTCACTGTGACAGAGCTCCAGATTTCCTCTGGAGATTGGAGAACCTTCCAGAAGGAACAACCATCTCTGCAGCACTCCACCAATCAGGCCTTTATGGTAGAGTGGCCAGACGGAAGCCACTCCTCAGTAACAGGCACATGACAGCCCGCTTGGAGTTTGCCGACAGCCCGCTTGGAGTTTGCCAAAAGGCACTTAAAGGACTCTCAGACCATGAGAAACAAGATTCTCTGGTCTGATGAAACCAAGATTGAACTCTTTGGCCTGAATGCCAAGTGTCACATCTGGAGGAAACCTGGCACCATCATGCTGTGGGGATGTTTTTCAGCGGCATGGACTGGAAGACTAGTCAGGATCGAGGGAAAGATGAATGGAGCAAAGTACAGAGAGATCCTTGATGAAAACCTGCTCCAGAGCGCTCAGGAACCTAGACTGGGGTGAAGGTTCACCTTCCAACAGTTGAACGACCCTAAGCACACAGCCAAGACAACGCAGGAGTGGCTTTGGGACAAGTCTCTTGAGTGGCCCAGCCAGAGCCCGGACTTGAACCCGATCAAACATCTCTGGAGAGACCTGAAAATAGCAGTGCAGGGACGCTCCCCATCCAACCTGACAGAGCTCGAGAGGATCTGCAGAGAAAAATGGGAGAAACTCCCCAAATACAGGTGTGCCAAGCTTGTAGCGTCATACCCACGAAGACTCAAGGCTGTAATCTCTGCCAAAGGTGCTTCAACAAAGTACTGAGTAAAGGGTCTGAATACTTATGTACATTTATAAAAACCTGTTTTTTGTTTTGTCATTATGGGGTGTTGTGTGTAGATTTAATCCATTTTAGAATAAGGCTGTAACATAACAAAATTTGGAAAAAGTCAAGGGGTCTGAACACTTTCCGAATCCACTGTATAGAGTGTAAGTCAAACGCGTTTCTACAGGCTTATTTTGGGCCTAAGCTTGTCGCCTGCCTTCCCACCTTGGGACGACTCTCATTGTTAGGGCGGAAACATAAGCATCTCATCATTATATACAGATCTCCAATAGCATTTTCTGTTGGTCACGTCATTTGACTGTTTGGGGGAAAAAAATACTGTTTGTTGACCGGTCAGTTAATCGGAAGCTAAATTGACTGAAATTTGAATCCATATTTCCATCCAACCTTTTTATGCAAGTAAAGTACATGTTGGATAAAAAATGTCGTGACAGGCCTGATGGAAACAGAATTTTATTTGGTAAACTTTCCAAATGTCGACAACACATTATACGCTAGACAACACGTTAGACAAGGTAAAATGAGTTATGCGAGAAATTTTGGTGGAAACTCATTTATGAGCAAATATTGATAATAACCATCACATCGAAGTAAACTTGGGAGTCACCCGATGACGTTTGGTCCTCGCACTACGACTCTTCAGGAAAAAATTACGTTTATTAGGCTACAGATGAAAAAAGTTATGATGAACTTCAGGGTGGTGAAAGTGCAAGGTGATGAGCTTGATGCTCCTTTCCAATAAATATAGAGGGTCTTATTCTGGTGACATGATAATCGATGCTTGGCTGCAGTTTGAAAAATAAACTTGTCTCTTTTGTCCATAATAATCTCATCATGTAGGTTATATATGCATGCTAGCCAACAGCGCGCAGATAGGACTGTTGGCTAGAGCGCATGTGCCAATACCAGAGTGGGCACACTCGCTATATAACGCAACATTGTTTGTGAGAAGTTCAAAATGCGATGGAAACCCATTTCACAAGTATTTTTATGTGCACTACGTCATCACGCACAGCCTTTTATCTGCAACAAGTACATTTGATGGAAACATCTCTGGTGGGAAAATGTGCATATTGTTTTTATGCAGATTTTAAAATATTCGCATGAAAATCAGGAAACCTAGTTTATGTACAAAAAGTGATGTAATTTCTAAACAGTTCACCTGATATGGATGAAAATACCCTCAAATGAAAGCTGTCAGTCTGCACTTTAACCAAAGTACAGAGCCAAAACAACAACAAATGTGTCACTGTCCCAATATTTTTGGAGCTCACTGTAGTTGAAGACTCTTGTTTGAGTCATACAAGTGCATTTAAATTATTTAGGAGAGGTGTGTTGTCTTCTGTTGCACCTACCCCAAATTTCCAAGAATATTCTTATCATGTTACTGAATGTATCCATAGTATTTTCAGATTTCGTTATAAACAAATGCGACGAAAAGTACAGTAAATGTAAAATCCACATAAAATCAACAGTGTAATGTTTGGATTCAGTCTTGTGTCAGGTGAACTGTTGTGTCCTCAGCTTTAGTGTAATAATTTTCCCATATTCTCCAAACTGTTCCCTTTTAATTGCTACCATGGTTATGCATTTCCATATTTCTTCTGTAAGAAACGTGTCAATTTAGCCCTATCCACATAGGCCAATAGAGTTCCACTATTTCAAAATAGATTCTGTTGCTATGACTTAGACTGTGCCAAATAGTTTATAAAGTAGCCTATGTGAGTGGAAGATCACTGACGTAAAGGTTATAAAACTCATTTCACCCAGTTTGCTCCTTCCTGCACATGCCAAGCAAATGTAAAACCATACACATGCTCCCTCCCCTCTCTTTTAATACCTAGTGGAGTTTGTTCAACCTAATTTTGACCATACAAAAAAGTAAATTCCAGAGTTGGCATGGGTTCGAATCCGGCCAACTGCCCTTTGGCTCCCTCTCCCCCATCTTTCCACTGTAATCTCTCTTCAATAAAGCTAAAAAAAATTACGAAAGGAGTGGGACAGCCCCACTCCTTAAAATAATTGCTTAAAAAAAAGTTAATTATAAGCTGTGTTGGATATTAATGTACTCCACTTCAAACTCCTGTGTCTGGAATCCTATTCCTTCCATATTTATTTAGCTAGCTAGTCCTCTGAATAGTATGGCTCAGCTGTGACAGTGTGCTCTTTAGTAAAGAGCTATATGTATAGCTCCTCTACTCCTCCCTGCGGTGAAACCAAAACTGCATCCTTGTGAGCATGTCCTGCTCAACATGCTCAGTCAAGCTCATATCAATAGTTCCTCACACAGCAGAAACAACACCATGACACTACAACCTCTACAAACAGTCACACCACCTCTATATGGGACATATAGTAGTATTCATACCTTGAAAGACAACCTCAATATGGAAGAACAGAAGGACAGCACTGGCTATATAAGAACAGTGAAAAGTTACTTTTGACTTTGCACTTTAGAAACAGCTGCAAAACTGTATCTTGTTCACATGCAGTAGTTTGTAGTTAATTGACAATAATTGAGAACAAAATTCAAAGAACTGTACCACAACCATCTTTCCATTGCACTACATGCTTTCTCCTACACACCACAAAACTGAGAATCAATTTCCCCCTAATATGATTATTGATCCATATTGAAAGACACTACCGTTAAAGCTACCAACTCACACCAGCAGACATACATATATAATAATGGGAAGGAGATCTATCTACTGTATATCAGCATAGTGTTAAGAAGCAGAGAAATGTACCACCACCCAGAGCAGTTATCTAGCCCCACAGTGAGTGAGTCTACCACAGCACTACAATTGAAAGGAGGGAGGCTTGTTAATCAAACAGCATGCAGGTGATTGACTGCCCCAGAATTAATGCAGGGAATATGACCCTCTCTCTCCTGCTGGGGAAAAACACAAGGGTCTGAGAGACCTTGTCAACCTCCATAACTTCTCCAACATCAACACACTTCCATGTACTCCCAACATTAAAGAAACATTTCAAATACACATTTCTACAGTCAAATGGATCATTATCAACGTTAAGAAATCTAACTGTAAAACCAGAGGGTCTTAACACAGCAAACAATAATCGAGAAAATGACAAATGCATTAGGCTTATAACCAAAGCAAAGATTTGACATTAAGAAATGTTGTTGTCCTTTATAAAGTGGTTTTCTCTGAAAAGCGTATCTTCAATCTCCTGTTCCTCACAAATGAGTAATGTGTGTGTGAGTCACAGAGGGTGAAGTTGAATTGGGCTTCAACTTACGTTTTGTCGTAGTATGACGACGTTGTGTGGAGTGTATGGGAGAACTTGGCTGTGTTGCCGTTGATCACGTTCCCGTTCTCCGTGACAGCATAAGACTTCCTGGCTTTCTGGTCCTTCGCAAAGTTCCTGCAGGCTGTCAGCTTAGACTCCAGAGCCTGAGAAGGACGTAGAGAACACAAAAAGATAGAGGCCTTCCACTATTAGCAAGAGATGGAAACAGTGAGGGAAAAAAGTATTTGATCCCCTGCTGATTTTGTACGTTTGCCCACTGACAAAGACATGATCAGTCTATAATTTTAATGGTAGGTTTATTTGAACAGTGAGAGACAGAATAACAACAACAAAAAATCCAGAAAAATGCACGCTGTTATAAATTGATATGCATTTTAATGAGGGAAATAAGTATTTGACCCCTCTGCAAAACATGACTTAGTACTTGGTGCCAAAACCCTTGTTGGCGATCAGTGGTCAGACGTTTCTTATAGTTGGCCACCAGGTTTGCACACATCTCAGGAGGGATTTTGTTCCACTCCTCTTTGCAGATCTTCTCCAAGTCATTAAGGTTTCGAGGCTGACGTTTGGCAACTCGAACCTTCTGCTCCCTCCACAGATTTTCTATGGGATTAAGGTCTGGAGACTGGCTAGGCCACTCCAGGACCTTAATGTACTTCTTCTTGAGCCACTCCTTTGTTGCCTTGGCCGTGTGTTTTGGGTCATTGTCATGCTGGAATACCCATCCACGACCCATTTTCAATGCCCTGGCTGAGGGAAGGAGATTCTCACCCAAGATTTGACGGTACATGGCCCCGTCCATCGTCCCTTTGATGCGGTGAAGTTGTCCTGTCCCCTTAGCAGAAAACCCCCCCCAAAGCATAATGTTTCCACCTCCATGTTTGACGGTGGAGATGGTGTTCTTGGGGTCATAGGCAGCATTCCTCCTCCTCCAAACACGGCGAGTTGAGTTGATGCCAAAGAGCTCAATTTTGGTCTCATCTGACCACAACACTTTCACCCAGTTCTCCTCTGAATCATTCAGATGTTCATTGGCAAACTTCAGACGGGCCTGTATATGTGCTTTCTTGAGCAGGGGGACCTTGCGGGTGCTGCAGGATTTCAGTCCTTCACGGCGTAGTGTGTTACCAATTGTTTTCTTGGTGACTATGGTCCCAGCTGCCTTGAGATCATTGACAAGATCCTCCCATGTAGTTCTGGGCTGATTCCTCACCGTTCTCATGATCATTGCAACTCCACGAGGTGAGATCTTGCATGGAGCCCCAAGCCGAGGGAGATTGACAGTGCTTTTGTGTTTCTTCCATTTGCGAATAATTGCACCAACTGTTGTTACCTTCTCACCAAGCTGCTTGGCGATGGTCTTGTAGCCCATTCCAGCCTTGTGTAGGTCTACAATCTTGTCCCTGACATCCTTGGAGAGCTCTTTGGTCTTGGCAATGGTGGAGAGTTTGGAATCTGATTGATTGATTGCTTCTGTGGACAGGTGTCTTTTATACAGGTAACAAGCTGAGATTAGGAGCACTCCCGTTAAGAATGTGCTCCTAATCTCAGCTCGTTACCTGTATAAAAGACACCTGGGAGCCAGAAATCTTTCTGATTGAGAGGGGGTCAAATACTTATTTCCCTCGTTAAAATGCAAATCAATTTATAAAATTTTTGACATGCATTTTTCTGGATTTTTTGTTGTTGTTATTCTGTCTCTCACTGTTCAAATAAACCTACCATTAAAATTATAGACTGATCATGTCTTTGTAAGTGGGCAAACGTACAAAATCAGCAGGGGATCAAATACTTTTTTCCCTCACTGTATATGGTATAAGACACAGTCTTGGTGTACCAGAGTATACAGTGAATAGTGAATGTGTGCAAACAGAAAAATGTATGACTCACCCCCACTTTCCGTAGCAAGTCACTGACGATGTTGAGGGCTGATATTCTTGCAGAGGGCGTCAGTGAGTTACCAAGGCCATTGGACAACTCTGGAATATAAATACAACATACAAATCAAATCACATTTTATTCATCACATGCTTTGTAAACAACAGGTGTAGACTAACAGTGAAATGCTTCCCAACAATGCAGATTGAAAGAAAATTGAAAAATAATAGAAAAGTAAAACATGTAATAATAGATACACAATGAGTAACAATAACTTGGCTATATACAAGGGGTACCAGTACCAAGTCGATGTGCAGGAGTACAAGGTAACTGAGGTAGATATGTACATATAACTAGGAATAAAGTGACAGACAAACAGTAGCAGTAGCGTATGTGATGAGTCAAAAAAGTTTGTGCAAAAAGGGTCAATGCAGATATTTAAATAGTTAACCAAATAGCTACCCGGACGAACTATTTAGCAGTCTTATGGCTTGGGGGTAGAAGCTGTTCAGGGTCCTGTTGGTTCCAGACTTGGTGCATCGGCACCGCTGGCCATGCGGTAGCAAAGAGAACAGTCTATGACTTGGGTGGCTGGAGTCTGACAATTTTTAGGGCCTTACTTTTGAGCTAATCTATAAGAGGAACAGGAGCTCAAGCAGTAGAACATTTGAGGTGCCAAGCTCCTACCCAAGTCAAGCACAGCTTCTTATCCCTTGCGCAAATAGCCTACAGGTGTGTCTAGCAAGCTGTTGCTCGCAAGCTTCAGGCTGGACCCAAGTTAATAGTTGATACAATGTTTCAAGTTCGTTGCAGACAGGCCATGTGTAGCCAATGTGATTTATAGGATATTTATTTTTATCAGGATATTTTCTACCTGCAGGCTGCAATGTTTTCATTTGTTGGTTTATGTAGGCTATTTTAAATACTTGGCAATGGCAAAATAAGTTACTTTTTAGGTTTGTATCATTTTCATTTAGATTTGGATAGAATTTTGATTAACCACATGACAATGACTGAGCTATGAAGATGTTATTATAAATTAAATGATAATGTGCATATGAAAACCATAACTGGCACACAGATCGGTAGAAGTGGTGAGACAATTTGGCATTCCACATGAGAAAAATTGCAGACTCCTTGTGTAGCCTATTACCGGCAACTTCAGGAGAGTAATGGCAGAATCTGGAAAAGCCAGCAGGAGCGGGAGGAGAATAGTTGGGTCAGGTTAAGGGTTTTTTCTTCAGTTATCTAGATCTCTGGCGCCCTCTTGAAGCATGTCTTCTTTCATCAAACCGGAAGTTTAACGCATCAGACAAGCTCAATGCATATAGTTGATTTTATTAAAACACATAGGGTGTGTCTATATATGGAAAAATTGTTGACCAACCGATTGGTCGAAAGAACAGACAACTTTCGGTCGACCAAGATTAAATTTTTTGGTCGGGGACCTCGCTTTGTGCACAAGGACATTGTCATGCTGAAACAGGAAGGGCCTTCCCCAAACTGTTGCCACAAAGTTAGAAGCACAGAATCATCTAGAATGTAATTGTATGCTGTAGTGTTAAGATTTCCCTTCACTGGAACTAAGGGGCCTAGCCCGAACCATGAAAAATAGCCTCAGACCATTACTCCAACACCAAACTTTACAGTTGGCACTATGCACTGGGGCAGGTAGCGTTCTCCTGTTGAAGCGTGATTCATCACTCCAGAGAAGGCGTTTCCACTGCTCCAAAGTCAAATGGCGGCGAGTTTTACACCACTCCAGCTGACGCTTAGCATTGCGCATGGTGATCTTAGGCCTGTGTGCGGCTGCTCGACCATGGAAACTCATTGCATGATGCTCCCGACGAACAGTTATTGTGCTGACGTTGCTTCCAGAGGCAGTTTGGAACTTGGTAGTGAGTGTTGCAACTGGGGACAGACGATCTTTACGCGCTGCGTGCTTCAGTACTCGCCGGTCCCGCTCTGTGAGCTTGTGGTCCCTACCACTTCGCGGCTAAGCCGTTGTTGCTCCTAGACGTTTCCACTTCACAATAACAGCACTTACAGTTGCCTGGGGCAGGTCTAGCAGGGCAGAAATGTAACAAACTGACTTGTTGGAAAGGTGGCATCCTATGACGGTGCCACGTTGAAAGTCACTGAGCTCTTCAGTAAGGTCATTCTACTGCCAATGTTTGTCTATGGAGATTGCATTGCTGTGTGCTCAATTTTATACACCCGTCAGCAACGGGTTTACTGAAATAGACGAATCCTCTGATTTGAAGGGGTTTCCACATCCTTTTATATATATAGTGTATCTTATCCATGTCCTTGTTCAGCCACGACTCCGAGAAACATAGGATATTACAGTTCTTCAGGTCCCATTTATAGGATAGTCTCGAACGGAGCTCGTCCATTTTGTTATCCAGTGATTGTACGTTCACCAATAGAACAGTCATTGACATACAGTATACTTCACATAAAAAAGGAGACACATTGAAGTGTTGAGGTCAGAGCAAAAGGGTACCTGTGGGGTTGGCGAAGGCATTTTCAAGACTCTTTGCGAGCGGCGTCGCGGGGAGAGACCGTGAGGCCTGGACAGAGGAATCCATCTTGTCATTGACCTCCTGGGTGGGCGAGGTGGGCGCCGACATCCTGGTTACGTCCGTATTTCGCTCTCGGACGGCGAGCTCCTGACGCAGGTCTGACAGACAAGCAGACAGACAGACTATTTAAGGCTAAGTCAGACTAGACATTCAGATTGAGGTTAATGCTGTGACAGTCTCTCCCAACAATAATTTGTGGCTATAAGCAATGCTAATGCTGTGAGAACATGGGTTCTATTCATTTCACACATATCACTGAGAAGTTGAAAGAGAAAAAGGAACAGCAAATTTTCTAACGAGTGAAGGCAGGCAGGGGTTTGAGTGAAACCGGATCAATAAGCACCTCTGGCTTCGTCTTTCAATCTCTGCACTGAGACCAGGAGGGACTCCTTCTCATCCAACTCGCTCTCCAGGAAGGCGTTCCTCTCGATAGCCTGGTTCAGACGCTGCTCAAAGTCCTCCAGGGACACAATTGTAGCCCTGCAGAAGGAAATAAATAATTGTATTAAAAGGAAAACACTGTTCAGTGGACTCTTGGCTTCTGCACACAAAAACACATGCTGAAACACACTGATACCGGTGTTTCACCGTGATGCATTAATGTTGTTTAGTGCTAAATTAAACTCTCGTGGACCAACTGCGCAAACATAAATCGAGCATCTGACTAAATTATGCAAGATTTTCGTTATTGGTTAACTGAGGTCAGTGCTAAATTAAAATGTTAATTAACATGTCTGCTGAATGGACATATTCTTTCACAGCTTATCAGCTTCCACATATCATATTCCCTATGTTGATTATGCTTATTATGCATTGTTTGAAACAAAAGATGACATGAAATAAAATGGAAACAAAGATGAAATGAAACACTGATTTATGTTAATATTATACAATATCTAATCATTTTGAAATATTATGTAAATAATAGTCCCATATATTCAACATGCTATAAACTATTGTTTAACAGTTCTACTTTTTAATCCCTTATTAATTCTAATTAGTATGACACACCCCTTACTATGTTCATTGGTTGCACTAATTGTCTACATACCCTGGTTCAAGCGTTCATGATGTAAGAAGGCACTGAGTTGCTATCACTTGTTAAGCTTACCCGTTAAAATTGTTGGGAGCATATACAGTGCATTCGGAAATTATTCAGACCCCTTTTCTTTTTCCACATTTTGTTACGTTACAGCCTTATTCTAAAATAGATTTTTTTTTATTGTATTTCCTCATCAATTTACACACAATACCACATAATGATAAAGCAAAAACAGTTACATATTTTTTGCAATTTTATAAAAAATAAAAACTGAAATATCACATTTGCATAAGTATTCAGACCCTTTATTCAGTACTTTGTTGAAACACCTTTGGCAGCGGTTACAGCCTTGAGTCTTCCTGGGTATGACGCTACAAGCTTTGGGGAGTTTCTCCCATAATTCTCTGCAGTCATTCAGACACTTGTCCCGAAGCCACTCCTGCGTTGTCTTGGCTGTGTGCTTAGGGCCTTCCAACAGGTTCACCTGTTGCCCCAGTCTGAGGTCCTGAGCGCTCGGGAGCAGGTTTTCTTCAAGGATCTCTCTGTACTTTGCTCCGTTCATCTTTCCCTCGATCCTGACTAGTCTCCCAGTCCCTGCCGTTGAAAAACATCCCCACAACATGATGCTGCCACCACCTTGTTTCACCGTAGGGATGTTGCCAGGATTCCTCCAGAGCATTCCAAACATGCTCAATGGGTGACATTTCTGGTGAGTATGCAGGCCATGGAAGAACTGGAACATTTTCAGCTTCCAGGAATTGTGTACAGATCCTTACGACATGGGGCCGTGCAATACCATGCTGAAACATGAGGTGATAGCAGCGGAAAAAAATGGGCCTCACAACGGGCCTCAGGATCTCGTCACGGTATCTCTATGCATTCAAATTGCCATCGATAAAATGCAATTGTGTTCGCTGTCCGTAGCTTATGCCTGCCCATACCATAACCCCACCGCCACCATGGGGCACTCTGTTCACAACGTTGACATCAGCAAACCGCTCGCTCACATGACGCCATACACGCCGTCTGCCATCTGCCCGGCACAGTTGAAACCGGGACTAATCCGTGAAGAGCACATTTCTCCAGCGTGCCTGTGGCCATCGAAGGTGCGCATTTGCCCATTGAAGTAGGTTACGACGCCGAACTGCAGTCGTCAAGACCCTGGTGAAGACGACAAGCACGCAGATGAGCTTCCCTGAGATGGTTTCTGACAGTTTGTGCAGAAATTCTTCGGTTGTGCAAACCAACAGTTTCATCAGCTGTCCGGGTGGCTGCTCTCAGACCAACCCGCAGGTGAAGAGGCCAGATGTGGAGATCCTGGGCTGGCGTGGTAACATGTGGTGTGCAGTTGTGAGGCTGGTTGGACGTACTGCCAAATTCTCTAAAACGACAGAGGCGGCTTATGGTACAAAAATTAACACTAAATTCTCTGGCAACAACTCTGGTGGACAATCCTGCAGTCAGCATGCCAATTGCACACTCCCTTAAAACTTGCTCACTAACAGGGATGTAAACAAATTTGTGCACAACATTTGACAGAAATAAGGTTTTTGTGCGTATGGAAAATTTCTGGGAACATGGGACGCACACACACACACACACACACACTCACTCTTTATTAGGTACACCCATCTAGTACCAGGTCGGACCCCCATTGGCCTCCAGAACAGCCTGAATTCCTCAGGGCATTCTACAAGGTGTCGGAAACGTTCCACAGGGATGTTGGTCCATGCTGACACGATGGCATCACGCAGTTGCTGCAGATTGGATGGCGGTACATTCATGCTCCGAACAGCCCAATCCATCTCATCCCAAAGACGCTCTATTGTGTTGAGGTCTGGGGACTGTGCAGGCCATTCAAGTAAACTGAACTTGCTGTCATGTTCCAGGCGATGTTTTTCCACTCCTCAATTGTCCAGGGATGGTGATCACATGCCCACTGGAGGCACTTATTCTTGTTTTTAGCTGATAGAAGTTGAACCTGGTGTGGTCGCCTGCTGCAGTAGCCCATCCGTGACAAGGATCAACGAGTTGTGCGTTCCGAGATGCCATTCTGCACTGTTGTACTGCGCCGTTATTTGTCTGTTTGTGGCCGCCTGTTAGCTTAGACGATTCTTGCAATTCTCCTTCGACCTCTCTCATTAGTGTTGCACGGTACAACTGTACCAAAACATCATTAAACTTATGATACCAACATTTTAGAATACCATTTCATATGATACTACCATTTCGTTTATAAATTCAGTAAAACTTTTAAACCTCTACGGGATCAGTGTGCCGTATACGGGACGGTTGAGCTAACGTGCGCTAATGTGATTAGCATGACTGTTGTAAGTAACAACAAACTTTCCAGGACATAGACATGTCTTATATAGGCAGAAAGCTTAAATTCTTATTAATCTAACTGCACTGTCCAATTACAGTAGCTATTACAGTGAAAAAATAACATGCTAATGTATGAGGAGATTGCACAACAACAAAAAACGTATCATGGCAACTGGTTTGATACATTCACCTCTGAAGGTAAATAATGTACATACATTCAGTTATCTTGCTCTGATTCGTCATCCTAAGGGTCCCAGAGATAAAATGTAACATAGTTTTGTTTGATAAAATCCATGTTTATATTCAAATGTAGGAACTGGGTTCTAAAGTTTGAACCCCTCCTGTCTCTGGCTCCACACCCACCCCGCCCGGTCATCTAGATGTGTGAAAGTTAGTGTATAAGCTAATTATCCATCATGTATGACATTCCTGGGAGTGTGTAAACTTACAAAAATGATATGGTAAACAAAATGTATGTTCTCTATAGTTACAGTGGCTTGCGAAAGTATTCACCCCCCTTGGCATTTTTCCTATTTTGTTGCCTTACAACCTGGAATTAAAATAGATTTTTGGGGGGTTTGTATCATTTGATTTACACAACATGCCTACCACTTTGAAGATGCAAAATATATTTTTTTGTGAAACTAACAACAAATAAGACAGAAAAACAGAAAACTTGAGCGTGCATAACTATTCACCCACCCCAAAGCCAATACTTTGTAGAGACACTTTTTGCAGCAATTACAGCTGCAAGTATCTTGGCACATCTAGCCACTGGGATTTTTGCCCATTCTTCAAGGCAAAACTGCTCCAGCTCCTTCAAGTTGTATAGGTTCCGCTGGTGTACATCTATCTTTAAGTCATACCACAGATTCTCAATTAGTTTGAGGTCTGGGCTTTGAATAGGCCATTCCAAGACATTTAAATGTTTCCCCTTAAATCACTCGTGTTGCTTTAGCTGTATGCTTAGGGTTATTGTCCTGCTGGAAGGTGAACCTCCGTCCCTGTCTCAAATCTCTGGAAGACTGAAACAGGTTTCCCTCAAGAATTTCCCTGTATTTAGCACCATCCATCATTCCTTCAATTCTGACCAGTTTCCCAGTCCCTGCCGATGAAAAACATCCCCACAGCATGATGCTGCCACCACCATGCTTCACTGTGGGGATGGTGTTCTCGGGGTGATGAGAGGTGTTGGGTTTGCACCAGACATAGCGTTTTCCTAGTACCTTCCTCCATATGTTTGGGGAGTCTCCCACATGCCTTTTGGCGAACACCAAACATGTTTGCTTATTCCTTTCTTTAAGCAATGGCTTTTTTCTGGCCACTCTTCCGTAAAGCCCAGCTCTGTGGAGTGTCCGGCTTAAAGTGGTCCTATGGACAGATACTCCAATGTCCGCTGTGGAGCTTTGCAGCTCCTTCAGGTTTATCTTTGGTCTCTTTGTTGCCTCTCTGATTAATGCCGTCCTTGCCTGGTCCGTGAGTTTTGGTGGGCGGCCCTCTCTTGGCAGGTTTGTTGTGGTGCCATATTCTTAAAACATTTTTTTAATGGATTTAAAATGGTGCTCCGTGGGATGTTCAAAGTTTCTGATATTTTTTTATAATCCAACCCTGATCTGTACTTCTCCACAACTTTGTCCCTGACCTGTTTGGAGAGCTCCTTGGTCTTCATGGTGCCGCTTGCTTGGTGGTGCCCCTTGCTTAGTGGTGTTGCAGACTCTGGGGCCTTTCAGAACAGGTGTATATATACTGAGATCATGTGACAGATCATGTGACACTTAGAATGCACACAGGTGGACTTTATTTAACTAATTATGTGTCTTCTGAAGGTAATTGGTTGCACCAGATCTTATTTAGGGGCTTCATAGCAAAGGGGGTGAATACATATGCACACACCACTTTTCCGTTATTTATTTTTTAGAATTTCTTGAAACAAGTTATTTTTTTCATTTCACTTCACCAATTTGGACTATTTTGTGTATGTCCATTACCTGAAATCCAAATAAAAATCCATTTAAAATTACAGGTTGTAATGCAACAAAATAGGAAAAACGCCAAGGGGGATGAATACTTTTGCAAGGCACTGTATGTACTTGAAAATGTATCAATTGACCAATTTGGGACATTTGGTCAGACTTGATACAAAATAGTCCAGTATTGCAATGCTTCACTGGATCAATCTGAAACTTTGCACACACACACTGCTGCCATCTAGTGGCCAAAATCTGCACCTAAACTGCAATATTATATTGTGGCCTTTCTCTTGCATTTCAAAGACGATGGAACAAAACAATAAATAGAAAATGCATGTTTTTTTGTTTGTATTATCTTTTACCAGATCTAATGTGTTATATTCTCCTACATTAATTTCACATTTCCACAAACTTCAAAGTGTTTCCTTTCAAATTGAATCAATAATATGCATATCCTTGCTTCAGGTCCTGAGCTACAGGCTGTTAGATTTGGGTATGTAATTTTAGGCGAAAATATAAAAAAAGGGTCCGATCCTTAAGAGGTTAAGCAACAGCAACTAGTCTAGTATTCGCCGGTTCAATTATGTCCACTTCACTTTCATGCGCATATCACGTGTGGCAGCTGTAATCAGCCAGCCCCATCCCCTTCCAGCCCTCACTTGCCTGCTTCTCTCCATCCGCTCTTCCTGCTCATCTATTCCTTCATCAGTTTTTAAAATATAATTTATCTGTGAAGGCGAGCAGGAATTCAGACACTGATGAGTCTTCTGTTGTTACATTTGTACATTTCATACATTGGAGCAGCGCAGAGAGCAAGCAAAGTTGATACATTGTATATAATTTATTCCCAGATATAACCAGTGCACAGGCGAGTCTGAGTCGGCTTTGCAAGTTTGCTGTCACGCAGCAGTGCCAGAGAGGAAAAACAGCTTTGTGGGCATGCGTGCAGCTTTACAGCAAAGAAAACATAACTTCTCTAGCTCAAATGATTAAAAAAATATGAGCCATTCAACCGGAGTTACCTTTCTGCGCGATGTCGCGCACATTTGATATACATTTTAACCATGTCGCGGGCCATTTTAAACCAATCCTGGGCCGATAATTACTGGTTTGATAAAGAACAACATTATTCAGTCATTTTACCTAGCTAGCTAACAACCTGGTAACTTGACAGTAGGTTCAGGCAAATTTGATTGGCACTGGAAGAAAGGAAAAGGGTCTGCTACTCATGAGATGTGCTTCAAAGGATTCATATAGGCCTAATGTAAGCCTAAACTATATCAAAGAGTGGTGTGTGTATTTATGAGAGAGAGAGTATGTAAGGGAGGGAGTGTGTGTGTTACAACTGAAGAGTAAAGAAGGTTTCATGCAGTGTTTTCCCCTTACTGCCACAATGACATGCAGATCATTATGCATGTGTATTCATTCCTCCCATTCCTCCAGCCAAATCACACGTAGGCCTTTGCAAATATGAGCAAATCCGCCATTCTATGCAGTATTCTATTATAGTGAACAGTGTGAAGTTAAATGCTATATGTGTTGTATTGAGTAGAAGTGTGAATATCAGTGACATGTTTTTTGTGTAGCACATGCACATAACGTTTAGAAAATGGGAACAAGCATCGGGGGGGATGGGGCGAACAGGACACTAGGCCACTGAATCCCCCCCCCCCCCCCCCGTGGTATTGCGATATTACTTGGCATCGTGATACTTGTCCTGGTTTCGTATCGTTAGTAAAATGTTGGTATCGTGACAACACTACTCTCATTAACGAGCTCTTTTTGCCCACAGGACTGCCGCTGATTGGTTCTTTTTTGTTTTGTCGCCCCATTCTCGGTAAACCATAGACACTGTAGTGCGTGAATTGCCCAGGAGGCCGTTTCTGAGGTACTGGATCCGGCGCGCCTGGCACTGACGATCTTAGCACGCTCAAAGTCGCTTAGGTCACTTGTTTTTCCCATTCTAACATTCAATCGAACAGTAACTGAATGCCTTGATGCCCGTCTGCCTGCTTTATATAGCAAGCCACGGCCACGTGACTCACTGTCTGTAGGAGCGATCCATGTTCGTGAACGGGGTGGTGTACCTAATAAACTGGCCGGTGAATTTACAGCAATCAGACCCATTTGGGCCAGTGGCATGTTTTAATTGGAATGGGGATTTTCCATCAGTTATCCGATTACTCTCAATGAAAAGCACAGTGGGGAATTAATTAGGAAACATGCAACAAGCATCTCAGCCTCCAGCATTCATCAGCACCTCTCTGCATGGGGTTAATGTATGACTGTGTTCTGAAAGAGGATGAATACTTTTGCTTCTACTGTTAGATTAGTACTACTGGTAGATATTTCCTCTACTATTGCCTTTTTCATCCAAAACAAACATCCTGAAGTATATAGTAAATACCAGGTTATGACTTCTACAGCTCCTCTTCTAATGCTGTATCCAGTATTTGTCTGTTAGATACTGTGTAGTGGTCTGGTCTCTTTGCTGACCTCTTAGCTCTTTCCAGGTCGTCGTTGGACTGCTCTAGCTCCCGCACGTATTTGTGGAGCTGCTCCTTGATGCCCCGGGTCTGTCCCAGGTCATCCTCCAGCATGTTGATCTGTTTGTAGCTCTGGGCATACTGCTGCTCTAGTTTGTCCTGGAGGGGGGGGAGGGGGGTTTGAGAGATGAGGAGAGAGAAGAGATAGAGGGGGGGGAGCGGGTGTTACTTGTTAACATGCAACCATTTTAAAATAGGCGAAGGACGTTAAAGCTTTCAAGAATGGGGTTTTTACTTAGTAAAATATTTTCCTAACACCCCGCAGTCACACGCACACCCACTGTGGGAACCACCGTAGTAACCTACATTCTGTCATCTATTTTTAAGAGCACTCCGTTGTGCTCCATTTACTCAAGCATTCTCAGGGTATGGGGTGATGATGTGACCCATATCTTCTCCTCCAGCTCCAGCTCTCTGGAGCTCAGCTCAATAAATGTGACTGGGTCTGCCTGCCTGTCTGACCTATATCTTCTGGATATGTCACGTCTGAATCAATTAACCACTAACCTGGGCCAGACAAGCCCTGCTTTGTCCTGAAATGCCGTTTTACATTAACTACATATTCACACTTACTACATCAACACATACATTCTAGCCTACGTCAAGTAGCTCGTATCCCATAACAAGACGTTACTCAAGGTGTCACAGACACAGTCTCTGGCATCAGAATGAGAAAACTAGTCATTGCTGTGGTATTTTTCATAAACAAAGGCATGAAAGCAATACATGTTTTTTAATTGCCTGGGATAACGAACAATCTCACCATCACCGGTGGGGTGACTCACTGACTCGCATGGCTGGAGTTGTAATGTGAGCATGGACACAGAGCCACACTCATCCCAGCGCTAATTAAGGTGTGAGAATGAACGTGCTGCTGATGCATTATGTATGAGAATGATGTGTTTCATGCAAATTAACCACAGCTGGATATAACAGGATGTCGAGGGGCAGTTAAGCACAGGTGCCGATTCCCCGTAGTAGTGATCAGAGCAAGATTGGGAAAGAGAGTTCCTTGTCTGCCTGACTTATACGATTTCTGACTAAGAACCCTCTCTCCTTTACCGCTTTACTGCTGACCATGCCTGATACGGCTGTCGTAGCCGGCCGCGACCGGGAGACCCATGGGGCGGCGCACAATTGGCCCGGTGTCGTCCAGGGTAGGGGAGGGAATGGCCGGCAGGGATGTAGCTCAGTTGGTAGAGCATGGTGTTTGCAACACCAGGGTTGTGGGTTCGATTCCCACGGGGGGCCAGTATGAAAAATAAAAAAATTATGTAAGTCGCTCTAAATGACTAAAATGTACAAATGTAAATGTCATTAATAACTTCTATAGGTTGGGATACTGACAGACATGCTAAAGAAAAGTGCCTCCTCTCCGGAGACAGCACTAAAGGACAAGCCATAATGATATAAGGCAGCTTCAAATAATCATCAATCATTTATTATGTCAAGGTTATGACGTGTTTCTTAGGTTGTCAAAAGAGGAGCATGAACGCTAAAGGCGGTAAACTCGTAATTCACAGGATTTCGGATTTGTAAAATGCCACATTCCAAGAAAATATATGTATATACTTTTTACTTGAGCCAATCTAGTGCATTGTGTCCCTCTTGTGCACCTTGAGTGAGTCCACCTCGTTCTTGAGCCTGCTGTTCTCAGAGTGCAGGACTCTCATGCGGTGCTCAGCCTGGCCCAGCTGGGTCTCCAGCTCTGCCTCCAGCTCTCTGCTGCCCTCCTGGAACTCCAGCAGCTCCTCCTGGGCCTCCTGGCAACTGACAGGGCAGACACCACCGGAGGACATGGTTAGTACACCAACATTGTTATTTAACAGTCCATTAGTATTTATTAGGTTTTTACTATGAAATTAAAGTACCCAAGTAAAGTATATAAGACTTGAAGAGATTCTCCAGTACTTTTGTATACCTTTTAGCCAGTAGTTCTGAAAGTAACGCTCACGAGCCAAAAGTGGTCCCCGAAAATTGCGTATTACGTCACGTGCAGATATGTGCACCACATCATTGCCCTCTCTCTCGCTCTTGCTCTGCTGTGGGTGCATTATGTGACTCTTGCTAGCTGTCACTCATATGGTGAGGGGCTGAAGCTCATTGGTTAAACTGAAATTTAGGGAAAGTGGCGCAGCACAGCTTCCAGAAAAACAGTCGCTTTCAAACTAGGGATTTTGTGGCTAGGCTAACTGCGGTAAGACAGTAATTCTGGTAATAGCGGGAGTTTTAAAACGTACTTAGTATTCACCAAAGTCCCAGAGCATGTCTTTAAAAATAGAAATCATGTTACAGTCTTCTGTGATGAATGGTATCTACTATCTACAAGACTTCTTAAAGTCAACGCATATCCTGTTTTGTAGACAGTAACAGGAACTAGCAAACCATAAATTACCGATCTTCTTTGTTTATCTAAAAACCTGAAAATCCTACATGACATACAGTTGGTACTTAAACATACACAACTGTCTTCAGGCCATTTAAACAGTGGAAATTGAAAGAGCAGATCCTGGCCGCTTCACAAAGCCCACACAGGATTTGCACTTTTAAACTGAACTTGATCGTGATCCAGCTAATCCAAATCAAAGAACCCTCTGACTTTCCTAACGCCACATCTCGTTACTTGTCCACCCTGGCCTCTCCAAACGGCAACAGACTGTCTGTCTGCTACCCCAAGCAAAAGTAGATATTATATAAATAACCAAAAGGTTGGGTTGTTTACAGTGGGCATGTGGCCAGGACAGGGCAGCGTTTCAGGGTGGGGGTTGGGTTGACTGGGGTTATGCAAGTAAGCGTCTGCCGCCCACTACAGCCATGGACACATAGCTGCTCTAAAAATGGCTGTGTCCGGGGACCATCGGCATGGCACGCTACAGGCATGTGACCGGTGGGACAGGGTGGAAGGGGGGCCTGGAGACAGGAATGCCATCAAACAGCACCCACTGTCTTCCTATGGGCTGTCTGTCCTGTGTTGCTACCCTGGGGGCAGTGGTGTTTTGAAGGGGAAAGCCAAGTGGGCTCTTTAACTTTAAAACCCAGCAGGTTACCACTTCCTCTGTGGTTTATCCAAACGCAGCATCAGCACCCTCGGCAGTCTTTTAACTGCTTGTTTTGCCCAAGAGGTGAATGTCCCTTTCAGATATCCCTGAGCTGTCAGGGAACCCGAGCATCCTCTTTATTGGCAAACATAATTTTTGCAACAGTGTTTGGGGGAATCCTCAAGCAAGAGCATCTATTGTTGATATTAAGGAGCTGCTTCAGTACCAAATTCATGACAATCTTAAACACACATTTATCGAGCGATACAAAGGGAAGTGGCTTTGATTCCCCTTGGGTGTAAATGTCCATAGAGCCTTATATAACTGGGTGTAGTTTCCCCTAGCGCTGGGTGTGTCAGTTGTCCACTGCGATCTTATCAGCAGTCTTTTGCATCAAAACAGCAGTGTGCCTGTGCTGTGTGATGAGGATGTTCATTGAAAGAAATAGACCACAGCTAATTTCACTACAGGGAGCAGAGTCACGTTTGTCGCCCACTGCCAGTCTCGCACAGATGGGAAAAGAGAACATAAATCTAAGACCGCTATTACATAATCCCATTCATTGTATATTTAAGATACTTTGTGTGTTTTTTTTTGTTTGTATTTTACCCCCTTTTTCTCCCCAATTTCGTGATATCCAATTGCGATCTTGTCTCATCGCTGCAACTCCCCAACGACCTCGGGAAAGTGAAGGTCGAGTCATGCGTCCTCCGAAACATGACCCGCCAAACTGTGCTTCTTAACACCCTCCCGCTTAACCTGGAAGCCAGCTGCACCAATGTGTCGGAGGAAACACCGTTCAACTGATGACCGACGTCAGCCTGCAGGCGCCCGGCCCGCCACAAGGAGTCGCTAGAGCGCGATGAGCCAAGTAAAGCCCCCCCGGCCAAACCCTCCCCTAACCCGGACGACACTGGGCCAATTGTGCGCCACCCTATGGGACTCCCGGTCACGGCCGGTTGTGACACAGCCTGGGATCAAACCCCGGTCTGTAGTGACGCCTCAAGCACTGCAATGCAGTGCCTTAGACCGCTTCACCACTCGGGAGGCCTTAAGATACTTTTTAATGTGAAAACAGATCTGTCCCTTTGTGGAAGTATAAAGGAGTATTGAAGGACATTCCTAACATGGCCTTACATAAAGAACTTTCGCAGGCTAAACTGGATCTGTCATTCATTACTGCGCTTTAAAAACGAGAGAGTGAGGAGAGCTAGGCAATTTGAGGTCAATGTAACAAGTCTGGCTGGGGAATTTCCTTTCAGAAGTATTCAGGATATTAAAGTACAGGTATATGTAGTGTTGCTCAGTTTCCACGCACACAGTGAAACCATAGGATTCCAACATCATACTGTCATACCTCTGAGTTTCTGGTGAGTTCAAGTAAAAGTTAAGCCTGATGATCTTAGAGATAGCATTAATGTAAAATAAAAGGCATGATTTGTGCATATCTTACTTTTTCTTGTACTTGAGGGAAAGAGCCTTCCAGAAGTCAATCTCCTCGTCTTTCGAGGCGAATTTTGGAATCATATCTGTGTTCATGATATACATTTAGATCTGGAAAATCAACAGAAACCAGTTATATTACACTACTGTACATGGAAAAACAAACAATATATTTATCAGTAGCACTGTTGGGTCGCAAAAGTTGAGTGGGAATACATCATCTTCATGTAGACAAACAACCACCAGAGCAAATATTATACGTTTCCAAAAAGGAATAGGACCAGAGTAGAGTACACGGAGCATCCATCAGTGATACAGGACATTCTTCATTAGAAACACTGACAGAATGACCTGCAGCATCCTGCTCGGTCCTCTCCAATCAATACCTTCGCAACATCCTCTCAAGCTATTTCTGTACAGATGTAGCCGAGTGCCATAAATCAAATCAATTTTTATTTTTTACATGCGCCGAATACAACAGGTGTAGACCTTACAGTGACATGCTTACTTACAAGCCCTTAATAAACACTTTTAAGAAAGAATCCCCCCCCCCCCCCCAAAAAAAAAAAAAAAATACAATATGAAATAATACAAAATAAAATAATTAAAGAGCAGCAGTAAAAATAACAATATTGAGGCTATACAGTAGGTACCGGTACCTAGTCAATGTGCGGGGGCACCGATTAGTCAAGGTAATATGTACATGTAGGTAGAGTTATTAAAGTGACTATGCATAGATAATAAACAGAGTAGCAGCAGCGTAAAAAGGGGGGGGGGGGGGGGGGGGGGGGGGCAATGCAAATAGTCTGGGTAGCCATTTGATTAGATGTTCAGGAGTCTTATGGCTTGGGGGTAGAAGCTGTTTAGAAGCCTCTTGGACCTAGACTTGGCACTCTGGTACCGCTTGCCGTGCGGTAGCAGAGAGAACAGTCTATGACTAGGGTGGCTGGAGTCTTTGACAATTTTGAGTGCCTTCCTCCGACACCGCCTGGTATAGAGGTCCTGGATGGCAGGAAGCTTGGCCCCAGTGATGTACTGGGCTGTAGGAAATACCCTCTGTAGTGCCTTGCGGTCGGAGGCCGAGCAGTTTCCATACCAGGCAGTAATGCAACCAGTCAGGATGCTCTCGATGGTGCAGCTGTAGAACCTTTTGAGGATCTGGGGACCCATGCCAAATGTTTTCAGTCTCCTTAGGGGGAATAGGTTTTGTCGTGCCCTCTTCACGACTGTCTTGGTGTGCTTGGACCATATTAGTTTGTTGGTGATGTGGACACCAAGGAACTTGAAGCTCTCAACCTGCTCCACTACAGCCCCGTCGATGAGAATTGGGGCGTGCTCGGTCCTCTTCTTTTTCCTGTAGTCCACAATCATCTCTTTTGTCTTGATCACCACACGGCCAGGTCTCTGACCTCCTCCCTATAGGCTGTCTCGTCATTGTCGGTGATCAGGCCTACCACTGTTGTGTCGTCTGCAAACTTAATGATGGTGTTGGAGTCGTGCCTGGCCATGCAGTCATGAGTGAACAGGGAGTACAGGAGGGGACTGAGCACGCACCCCTGAGGGGACCCCGTGTTGAGGATCAGCGTGGCGGATGTGTTGTTACCTACCCTTACCAGCTGGGGGCAGCCCTTCAGGAAGTCCAGGAACCAGTTGCAGAGGGAGGTGTTTAGTCCCAGGGTCCTTAGCTAAGTGATGAGCTTTGAGGGCACTATGGTGTTGAACGCAGAGCTGTAGTCAATGAATAGCATTCTCACATTGGTGTTCCTTTTGTCCAGGTGTGAAATGACAGTGTGGAGCGCAATAGAGATTGCATCATCTGTGGATCTGTTGGGGCGATATGCAAATTGGAGTGGGTCTAGGGTTTCTAGGATAATGGTGTTGATGTGAGCCATGACCACCCATTCAAAGCACTTCATGGCTACAGACATGAGTGCTACGGGTCGGTAGTCATTTAGGCAGGTTACCTTAGTGTTCTTGGGCACAGGGACTACGGTGGTCTGCTTGAAACATGTTGGTATTACAGACTCAGACAGGGAGAGGTTGAAGATGTCAGTGAAGACACTTGCCAGTTGGTCAGCGCATGCTCGGAGTACATGTCCTGGTAATCCGTCTGGCCCTGCGGCCTTGTGAATGTTGACCTGTTTAAAAGGTCTTACTCACATCGGCTACAGAGAGCGTGATCACACAGTCGTCCGGAACATCTGATGCTCTGTTTCAGTGTTGCTTGCCTCGAAGCGAGCATAGAAGTCATTTAGCTCGTCTGGTAGGCTCGTGTCACTGGGCAGCTCGCGGCTGTGCTTCCCTTTGTAGTCTGTAATAGTTTGCAAGCCCTGCCACATCCGATGAGCGTCGGAGCCGGTGTAGTACGATTCGATCTTAGTCCTGTATTGACGCTTTGCCTGTTTGATGGTTTGTCGGAGGGCATAGCGGGATTTCTTATAAGCTTCCAGGTTAGAGTCCCGCTCCTTGAAAGCGGCAGCTCTACCCTTTAGCTCAGTGCGGATGTTGTCTGTAATCCATGGATTCTGGTTGGGTTATGTACGTACAGTCACTGTGGGGACGACGTCGTCGATGCACTTATTGCTGAAGCCAGTGACTGATGTGGTGTACTCCTCAATGCCATCGGAAGAATCCCGGAACATTTTCCAGTCTGTGCTAGCAAAACAGTCCTGCAGCTTAGCATCTGCTTCATCTGACCACTTTTTTAGTCACTGGTGCTTTAGTTTTAGCTTGTAAGCAGGAGGATAGAATTATGGTCAGATTTGCCAAATGGAGGGCGAGGGAGAGCTTTGTACACGTCTCTGTGTGTGGAGTAAATGTGGTCTAGAGTTGTTTTCCCTCTGGTTGCACATTTAACATGCTGGTAGAAATGAGGTAAAACGGATTTAAGTTTCCCTGCATTAAAGTCCCCGGCGCTGCGTCTGGATGAGCATTTTCCTCTTTGCTTATGGCAATATACAGATCATTGAGTGAGGTCTTAGTGCCTGCATCGGTTGTGGTGGTAAATAGACAGTTATTAAGTATATAGATGAAAACACTCTTGGTAGATAGTGTGGTCTACAGCTTATCATGATATACTCTACCTCAGGCGAGCAAAACCTTGAGACTTCCTTAGATATCGTCCACCAGCTGTTGTTTACAAATATACATAGACTGCCACCCCTTGTCTTACCAGAGGCTGCTGTTCTTTCCTGCCAATACAGTGTATAACCCGCCAGCTGTATGTTATTCATGTCTTCGTTCAGCCACGACTCGGTGAAACACAAGATAAGTTAATGTCCCGTTGGTAGGATATTCGTGCCTGTAGTTCGTCTACTTTATTATAGGGGCGGCAGGTAGCTTAGTGGTTAAGAGCGTTGTGCCAGTAACCGAAAGGTCGCTGGTTCTAATCCCCGAGCCGACTAGGTGAAAAATCTGTCGATGTGCCCTTAAGCAAGGCACTTAACCCTAATTGCTCCTGTAAGTCGCTCTGGATAAGAGCGTCTGCTAAATGACGTAAATGTAAATTATCAAGCTATTGTAAATTGGTCAATAGTATGGATGGCAAAGGCAGATTAGCCACTCGTCGCCGGCCAAAGTGTGTGTTTATGTGTAACGGGTGCGTGCCCCCTCTAGCGCGCTCTTCTGTATCGAGTTACAAAACACACAACACACTGGAAGGATCTTCAACTCAGAAATTTCAACTCTTATCCAGTAACAATGTATTATGCACTGTGTGCCAAAGCCACAGCAGGTCGCTCTTCTGCAGTTTTCCTGGCTCTTGAACTTCACCGGACAGTTAGTGTTGGGCTCCCAGGCCTGCAAGCTTTAGCCTATCTAGCTTAGATCTATCCCCTCACAAGACAGACATCAACTTCTTGGCTGTAGCATCAGGTCCCATCAGGATGCAGAAAGCTGCAGATCAATGCTTTTTCTGGGAACTAACCAAAGGGCATGTCTGAGTCCCTTGCCTCAAACAGGGTGGATTATTAAAAGAACTGTATCCATTTCCACCAGCACAGAAAGAAGGGATTTAACAACGCTTCAGAACGCATGTTAGAAAACTTAAAAAGAGATGTGTTAGCATATACATAGAGATCTGCTGTGTCAACTGCTGTTGCACTATTAAGTTCCAAATAACTCTAGATTCAATGTAAAAAATAAACATCTAAGTACAATTGAGCATGTCCAATTATGAATAGCTTAATGTTCTGCAGGAACATGGAGAACAACTCATAGCAGCATGTTCCTTGGAGTGTTATTCTAGGTGGGAAAGTAAATACATGTAAATATATGCAGTCAATAGCGATGATAAAAGTGAAATAGGTAGCGGTATAAAACGAGACATTCCAATTTCCCTGGAGATAAAAAAGTGTGGCCAGGAGTAGGGCTGTGGCGGTCACAAAATTTAGTCAGCCGGTGATTGTCATGCAAATAACTGCCGGTCTCACGGTAATTGACTGTTAATTAACATAAACACATGTAGCATCTCCTGGCTTCCACACATAGCCTACAAGCCACTGATGCAGACCTTTGGAACATCTACATTTTAAAAAGTTGAATAAATCCATGTAATATAGCCTAGACCTTCACAATAAATCCATGATTTATTTTAGACAGGTCTAAAGAAACATGATATGAAGAACAGAATAGCATACTCTGAGTTATCCTTATGTAAGGTCCTGATCTGGCTATGCCATATGGCTGTGGGCTACACTAGTTCATTTAGCAGACAAGTTTGGTTAGAATTCTGTGGCATTATTTTATAATATGAAGAATATAATTGAACAAAGCTGAATAAAATTGAAAATATATTTTCTCCAAATGATTTGAGGGAGTGTGCACATGCGGTTGAGCGGTTAACAAAGAAATACAGTTGAAGTCGGAAGTTTACATACACCTTAGCCAAATACATTTAAACTCAGTTTTTCACAATTCCTGACATTTAATACTGGTAAAAATTCCCTGTTTTAGGTCAGTTAGGATGACCACTTCATTTTAAGAATGTAAAATGTCAGAATAATAGTAGAGAGAATGATTTATTTCAGCTTTTATTTCTTTCATCACATTCCCAGTGGGTCAGAAGTTTACATACACTCAATTAGTATTTGGTAGCATTGCCTTTAAATTGTTTAACTTGG